TTGAAAAAGACCAGTGTCATGAATGCAAGGGGTTTGGCCACTTTCAAAAGGAATGCCCTAACTTCAAGAAGAAGATCAAAACGTATAAGGCGACGTGGTCTGACTGCAGTGACGATGAGGAGAAAGAATCTGAAAAGACTAAGAATTCTAACTACTCAAATAACTCTGCTAAATTTCTTCTTAATGAATATAAATGTTTTACGTCCTCTGTTCATTTGACTGATGTAGAGTCTGATGTAGGTTCTTACGCGAAAAATTTGAGCGATGTGGACTCTGATGAATTCTCGGACCCAGCTGCAAAAAATCTTGTACTTCACAAGTATGCCATAGAAAAGTATATCAAGGCAGCTGAGATCATCAAGAAGTACCAGGCTCAAAAAGTGAAGATGAAGGCTATGGAACATCGATCTGCTTAACGTGAGAAGGAGATTTCCAATCTTAGGGATGAACTTCAAAAGATAAGAGTGATGACCGTTGATCTAAACGAGAAACTCATCAAATCAGACCTTCATATGGGAAAGCAAGACAAGGACCTTAACAGTTGTTTCGCAAAGCTTGCACTGGTTGAGCATGGGGATAAAATCACCAAACAGGCAAGTGACGAACAAAATTTTACCATTGAATCCTTACGTAATGAATTGTTCGTTGTGCATAATCTTGTAGGTGAAAGAGAAACTGAAATAGTTATTCTCAAGGGGGAACTTGGTCGTGTGATGGGGTAACATATGACACTTCGGAGTCATTGCTCTACCCTTGAAGAAAGGCTCAGTAAGAGTGATGAAGTTGTCAAACTGATCAATAAGCCAAAGTCATCATACGCTGAAGTTCAAAGATTGAGTCAGCAGATTGGTTCATCCAACCCGAGTACGAATCTCCACAACCAGAAACTGAAAGGAAAGGTTGGTGAATCAAGTTCCTCACTGAGTAAGGCTGATCTAACTTTTGTTAAAGAAGGTTACTCAATTGATTCCAAGAAAGGTAAGCCAAACTCTCCTAATGCACAACACAAAAATTCTGGTAAGAACTTTGTACCCGTTTGTCACTATTGTGGGATTCACGGTCACATTCGTCCCAAGTGTTATAGAATACATAATGATATATATACGGGTCAAATTAATGATTGGAGTCCTTGTGGTGTTCCCTTGAAAGCACCTAAACTGAAAGACATAGTAAATCATGAACAGAAAAATATTTGGGTTCCCAAGGAAAGTAAGAACGTATGTCTGTCTTCTATACTTGCCTTGAAATCCACGTCTAACTCTGACTGGTACTTTGATAGTGGATGCTCTTGTCATATGACAGGTTTGAGGTCTAATTTAACAAATATCATGCATGTTTCTTCTAGTTCAGTAACTTTTGGTGATGGGGCAAAGAATAAGGTTCTAGGGGTAGGATGTTTGAATGTTCCTGGTTTGCCCAAACTTAAAAATGTTCTTTTGGTTCAAAATTTGAAAGCCAATCTTTTGAGTATAAGTCAATTATGTGATCAGGGTTTGTATGTGAATTTCACTAAGACTCAGTGTCATATGTCTGATCAAGAAAACAAACATGTTCTTACTGGTACTAGGTCCAGGGATAACTGCTATCTTGTGGAACTTGATTTGAAGTGTAATAAAACCAGTATTGACATGACTGAACTCTGGCATCAAAAGTTAGGCCACATAAACAATCCTCATTTACTGGAACTCTCCTCTACAGGTATTGTTCGAGGATTGCCCAAGCTGAAGAAGGAAGAACCACGAGTCTGTGGATCATGAATGAGGAAACAGAAAAGGGCCTCACACAAGAGGCTGACTGAGGTTAGTACCAACCACATCATGGAGTTGATGCACATGGACTTGATGGGACCAATTCAGGTCGAAAGTTACAGTGGTAAGAAGTATATTCTTGTCTGTGTGGATGATTAATCTAGATTCTCTTGGGTTGATTTCTTAAAAGATAAGTCTGAGGCACTTGATGCTTTTAAGAAACTCGTGTTAAAACTTGAGAATGAAAAACGAACTAACCTTGTTGCAATCAGGAGTGACCATGGTAAAGAATTTGAAAATCGTGGTTTTGAACTATTTTGTGAATCTCGTGGCATATTTCACTAGTTTTCTTCTCCAATTATTCTACAGCAGAATGGGGTTGTAGAGCGTAAGAACATGACTCTTCAGGAAATGGCAAGAGTGATGCTTGCATCACAGGGCATGTCCTTAAGATGGTGGGACGAGGCAGTCAACACAGCGTGTTATATCACTAACCGTGTGTATTGCAGGAAAGGAACTAGATTGACTTCGTATGAAATGTGGAAAGGTAAAGCACCTAATGTGAAATATTTTCATGTTTTTGGGTGTCGGTGTTACATCTACAATGACAGAGAACATCTTAGTAAGTTTGAGTCCAAGAGTGATGTTGGTCAGTTCCTTGGCTATTCTACTAATAGCCGTGCTTACTGTGTGTATAACTTGCGTACTGAAGTAGTCATGGAATCTATAAATGTTGTTTTTGATGATGCTCTTGAATGTGTGTTCTCACCTGATGTGTCCAACATTGATGTCTCCAGTGGTAAGAAGTTGCCAAATTCTGAAACTGAGAATGTGTTAAATGATGTTAAGTTTGAAACTCTTGATTGTGATAAAAATGTGCAAGGTATTCAATATAATGTTCCAACGTCCTCCGGAAATCCTGATGAATCTAGGCGAGATCCTCCTGCCAAGATTCAGAAGGATCATCCTAAGGATCAAATCATAGGAGGAATCACTGAGCGTAGTACTAGAGGTGTGAAACCTGATTTTCGTAAAATA